CACAGCACCAGATAGCATCATCAACGCGTCAACGTGGTTCAATCACTGCCTCTTCAATCATTCATTTTGTCGTTTCAGAATCGGCGACTGTGCTGTGGAAATATCATACCATGTTTTAAAATGTAGCAGGGATAATTTAACTGGACCCTGAATGAGTAAATTGATGCCAGGAAAATATAACGTGATAAGCAGTTTGTGTAGTTCACCTAAGAGTACACAAAGAGTAATTAACGAGATAAATTTATTGTAGTTGCATGTATGGGACCGTCACCGACAGGTTCAATGTTCACGTGGCCGATTCAACAGATAAACAGCTATATAGTTATTGGGGATATTTTTAAACATGTTTTCAAAGACTCTCATTTTTTGTACAATGATGTATAAACGTTTTAGAACAATCTGACCATTCAATTTACGGGCAGGGTGTTTTTCGAATGTTGATAAGGATATTAATTTTACGAATACATTTACTTCAGAGCAAAATCAGAATTGATGTAAAGGGGTATCCCGATAGGATCGTATATGAATAATGCGAGAAATATCGGGTCCCGGTAGACTCTGAAATACATCTCAGCAATTTTTTTTTTTTTTTTTGCATTCCGTCAAGTAAATAATTTTAGGGTCATGAATTAGGTGCCCGAATTCAATACAGTAGTGCACCCTGTTTTCGCGGGGGTGGACCATATAGGATTTGCAAACACATCAGGCTTCAGCATAGAAACCCGGGTTTAAACATCGCAAAAATGAGCATTATATCCGGGAGTTTATTAGAGGTCCGAGGGCGCGAAAACCGGGTGCAGTACTGTACACCACAAGTGACAATGAGGCGAGACGCTGTTATATAGCTAGCCCTCTAGAAAGACAAGGCTTCATATTAGTCGGGGATAGGCTATCTATTAGAAAACTAACTTGCGTGATCGTTCTGGGCTGCACCTAATATTTGAACGTCTCGATCAGTTCTTCTTGCAACCCAACACCACCACAGTCCTATTTCTTCTGAGCTGGCCTCATCCAAAAACGCGTGTATTCCTCTACAAGCCCCTTGTTGAGTGTAGACCACCAACCTGAACTGTCAAGTGCTTCCAACCTCTGTTTTATCTTACCAGGCTCCACGTGGTGTTGCTTCCACTTTGTAAATTGCGCCTCCTGCAGCTTTGGTGCAAGTCTTTTAATGTCCAGATTGGTCGAAATCTTGGCCGATTCGATCATCTGTGCCAGCGCAAAGTTGTCGTAGTGATCTAGCAAAGTGTCGATCATTGTTTTCCCCTCGTTTTCTTTGCCGACCTTGGCTCTCACGTACTTCGACCACTTCACGATATCGTCGCTAGTGAATAGCGCGTTCGTTTTGTCGAGCTTGTATGACTTGAAAGCTCCACCAGCGGATCTCCCTTGCGCAAGCCACGATATATGTTTCAGATGTTGCTCAATTTTATCGGTACCCGACTCAATCCGATTCTGGAAACCCGTAAGTACGATTCCTCTCTCTTCGTCATCTTTTTGCGCTTCATCACTCGCCCTGAGCAGCCTGTTGGTTGTCATGGCACTTTGATGGACTGGAGTAACGGCTGGGTATATAAATACAGCCGTGCTTGCCGGTGCGGTCCCGTCACTCGTCGCCAGAAATGCCGCAGCAGCGAGCAACGTCACAAAACAGAGTCGCATCGTGATAAACAGATCTTGGAGCGTGAATTTCACGTCGTGAAATAAGGATCCACGGGGTGCCAGGGGAGTTGAGAGGGGTCTGCGTGTTTTTGGGGAGTGATGAGGGCAATCCAAACCACCGATTCCCCGTAACACATCCGAAAGTGGTCTTGATCCGAACGTTTTGATTACGAGTAATTTTGAAACGCATGAATAAAGACTCATTGTATTGTTCTGATTTGCAGATTTGGGTGGTGGTGGTAAGTCCGCTAAAATATTGGCAGTAGCTGTCAGAGTAGGTCCTCCAGCCAAAGCGGGATGAACTTCACGACCGTGAGTGTTTTGTTCTTGGGTTGATATTAATCACTGCTGATGTTAATATTTTAATATTTTTTGTAGTGCTCAACGTGCAGTGACGATGTTGGACGACAACGGCCAACCTGTGAATGTTACGGCTCTCCTTGCTGATTTAAAGAAGGAACGCTCTACCAAAGCAGCACTTGAAGAAAAGAACGCAGGGCTCCGCAAGCGAGTGCAACGCATGTTGATCGAGAATGATGAAGTGCGCGTGAAGGCCAAGAACGAGGTGGTAGCTGCACACCACCGTGAAATTGCCGAAGCTCAGAACCAACTGGCAGTTTATGCACATAACCACGCCTACACGACAGAATTGAGATCATTGGTGCAAGCACGTCATTGGCGTCGCCGCCCCCATGATGCACGCAAGCTATCAGTTTGCAATTTGAGCGCCAGACCATTAATACCAAATCGATACGAATACACCATACGACTTTCTCAACTTTTTGCGGTTCTTGCCGCGTCCTACCTGATTATTTGTTATGCATCCTCGATATCCCCGCGAAGGTTCCTCCGTCTAGCAACGCTAGCAACCGGTATTTGAGGATTCTCCACACAGCCACCAAAGACGACACTGATTCTGAAGAATGAGGCTTGACTATGAAGCAAATGATGAAGAAATTAGTGACCCCGGAGGAGTACGCTCAGTAGTTAGGCCTTACTAAGCAGTACCACGCTGCCATCCGGGAAGCAGAGGGTCTTGCTAAGTTCTTGCAGACCACCGAAAGCATGTATCTCCAAGCCTACATCAACTTCTTGAAGGACATGGGTAAGAAAAAGAGGTATGCGAAGACAGTGGCGGTGATTAATGCGAATGCGTAGAGGTTAGAAACACTTCAACTGGGTAGGAGTAGCCGTCATAGATGAACATGAATACAACCTGACTTTGACTGCCGACTGGTTTTATATTAGAACCTTGTTTTACTGAACCTCTGCACGCTACAGCGTAAACTGCTCGATTCTGCCAAATACTCGGTGAAAAAAAAAAACAAGTACTTGTCGGTGAAACTGTGGCTATACGTACGGCTAGCTCCGCGGACAGGATGGTTAGTCCGCGTTTGAAAATATTCCTACGATTTGACTCGGTTTTGGGTTCGGAATCGTAAATTACCGCCTCGCTACAACACTGTAAAATTCGTCTAGTCGAGAAAAAAAAAGTGCGACTGTAGTTTGCAGGGATGACAGCCCACATTAATCGGTGATCTCTGAAACCACAAAGTATACGTGTATCAAATGCGAAAGAAAAAAATACACAATCATTTTGTGACACACAAATCTGATCCACACGGTTACCAGATCAGGACTATTTGGTCCAGAAAGATAATCATAGTTTTCTCATCATGTATACAGGGTATAGAGTTTAACAGAGTTTTACCAACCGTTTGTCGTCGTCCAGATCTCCGGTCGGGATTTGATATATCATCACAGAGGGCTTTGTGCATCTCACGTGCACATAGATTTACCTTGAACCAGCGACAGTCCAAACTATTTTGCTTTACATTCTGCCATTCTGCAACAAACCCCAACTTCATTTGAAGTACCATCCTTATAATAAAACCATTGATCCAAAAGCGTCTTGGATATACTCCAAGAAAGCCACCTGTATCATCAGGTATCTACGCGCATGCAAGAAAAAAAAAA